AAAAAATATTAATATTTTTTGGGAAAAATGGTGATATATCGCCTTGCCTACAGTATCATGATATATTGCGATATATTGTGACCCCATGTGTCGTGATACGTATCTCATCACACTTTACTCTGGATGCTGATGAAATGTTTTAAAGCTGATTCTCCTGTCTTCCGTCTCGTTATGCCTCCTGCAGTTGCGTTCTCCGGTCTGGGGTTCACCTCCTTCTACTTGGCGGGAAAGCTGCAGTGCTTCACGGATCAGGGCCGAGGTCGCAGCTGGCGTCTCTGCGCCATGGTTCTGCCTCTCTACAGCGCCATGATGATCGCCTTGTCCAGGACCTGCGACTACAAACACCACTGGCAAGGTACACGASTAACTTCCTTATTACTCACTTCATGAGCTCATTAAACCTCCACCCTCATGAAACATGCAGGAAACTAGAATGACTAATTTTAGCTTTTCTAGGAATTCTTCTAGAATTAGAATGAGARGTGTGGAGAAATGGAAAAAATCCTGCATCTCATAAGTAAAGCAGGTGTTTGAGGAGGTGGGATAAGTTGTCATACGGTGTTAATGACTTTCAGGAAGCCGTAAGATCCCGGCTGCCAAACTGACAACGTCTCATTAGAAGCTGAAGCAGCAGACTTGCTGTAGTTACGCTGAAGCCCAGACGGTTCTGAAGCCTCCCTGGCTCTTCTCCAGACTGGGAGAAGGTAGCGGCAGAGCAGTCCATTAAATCTGAGGGTCTCCAATCTGCTCCCAGTGTAAACACAAGCTTGGAGCGCCCGTTAGCCCAGCTGCTACACCGCGCACTGTGAATATTAATTTTCTCCTTTTACGCCGAGGAGACGCTGAAAACCACTGAACTGGTTTGTTTGACAGAAGTCACGAACATTTGGATTAATGTGCAGAGTTTGAATCAAAGAAATATTCGTGATTTTTTTACCATGTAAACGGAATTTAGCAAATTCAGATTTGTAGCCGCTTCCTTTAGCTGCGATTTTGCAGGTTTTAGCTTTTAGCCACTTCTTTAAGCTATGGTTTTGCTAGTTTGAAGCAACAGTTTTGCCATTTTAAGCTACTAATTTGCTAAAAACATTTTAGCTAAGGTTTTGCTTATTTTAGGTTAAACTTTAGCTATTCAGTTTCAGCTTTTTCAACAAATTTCAGCTGTCACTCAGCAGCCCAATGAAATCCAGTTTGTCTGTTGAAGATCATCTTTTGTAMGTTTTGTGTCACGTATCTCATTTTTACATAAAAACGTTCGGCTCCTTCAGGACATTCCAGCCATGACTTCTGCTTTTTCAGCAGTTTGTARTTTTTGAGATATTTAGCTTCAATTTATTTTAGACTTTTTAAGCTGTCACGTTGACCTTTTCTGCTAATCTTCTAAGATTCTTTCATTAGCTTTCTGCTAATTTAATCAGTTTTTTGTGTTTTTAGCCACTTTTTAGCTAATTTCAGATAATTTGAGCTTTTTTCAGCTAACTTAATCTTTGTGATAATTTCAGATATTTACTGCTTAACATGTTGTCTTTCTGTTAGTATTAATTTAAGCTATTACAGCTTTTTAAAGCTATTTTAAAACAAGTTTCTTTGCACTCCTCTTGTTTTTTGCTAATCCTCTGGTAATTTTAACTTGATTTTGCTCCYTTTAGCCTCTTTTTGCTAAGTTTAGCTACTTTTTTGCTCTTCAGATTGCTATCTTACTGATTTTTTTCCTCTTTTTTTCCGACTTTCAGCAAAGCTTTGCTGTTCAAATTTACCTCTTAGCAGTTTTACTATTAAACCTTTTTCTGCTTCTTCAGCAGCTTTCAGTAAAATTCATCTAGCATTAAGCATCACACTTCCTGTGGTTTGTCCTTAATTTTGCTTTTTCCATTTTATTTTCTAAATTTCACTTTTCCGTTTTTTCTAACATGTTTAATAACCTAAAAAGTAGATTTATAAATAATTTAACAAACAAAAAGCAAGAGTTAAAAATGTAAAAGCCATTATTTCACAAATCTAAAACTGCTGAGGTTCAGCAGGTTAGTGTTTGAGGTATTTGAACGTAAAACAGAATCTCAGATGATTCTTGAACTTAATAAATGTCTCATAAAGAAACATAAAACCTACAAACAGGAACAATTTGTTCACACTTTCCTTTTGAACAGGACCTGAGCTCCGTTTTGTCAGAGCCGCTCCTCGTTTACAGAGTTTTATCAAAAACAGACCAAGTTTTTTTATTTTTCCTAAAGAAATATCGGTACCACTTTACAATAAGACTCCCTTTATAAATAGCTTATAAATGGTTTATAGATAAGTTA